CCCCAAAACCCCAAAACCCCAAAACCCCAAAACCCCATAATTATATTGTATCGTTGAAATATTATAAATATGGCCAAGATACAAGCAAGGTCTCATTTTAAACCTTTTAGGCAACTGCCCCATCAACTAAAGCCATCAAATCTGAGTTCCTCGATAGTAAGACCTATCTGTTCGGAAAAGAAAGTCTCGAAGACGTAGTCGAGGACTGTCTTGAAAAATTAATAATAAATAAAGTCCAGAGCCAGATCGACTCACCCTTTAGGTATGTCAGTTTATTTGGCTTGGAGGTTCGCTATCTCCTTGATATATCTGAGATTACTATTTTATAGTGAAGAGACAAAAGTGGATTCATTAAGCAGTCTCATTTCAGAATTCTTTGTGGATCCTGCAGTGACATCATCTATCTTACCATCATTGTGATTCATCCTTACGGTACAACTTTTCTATCCTTCAAAAGAACTTTTGTCTTCATTGAAATCATTAGTTGTTGCCAATGATATACCAGGGTTGGACACAGCCCTGGCTAAGATAGACCTCCCTGCTGAGACTATTTGTTCTGAAGAGCCTACTATAGACCTAAGTAAGAGGATCTTCAACCGTAAAAGAGTCATCATCAATTACACTCTTGACTATGTCGTCTCGGTTATTAAGAAGGATCTAAAGAGTTCAGGTAAGATAGAAATCTTTACAGATATTCATTAGTAGTCTTACTGAGGTTTCTGATAACTCTTAGGGGTTCTTATGTGCTATATGCTACTGAGCAGAAATCTAAGAAAAATTCCTGCTCAAAAGTTATCAACATTATGAAGACAAAAATTTTGAGCTAAAATTTTGTGTGACGTTCATATATAATTTTTCATAAAGGAGATAAGGGAAAATATTTGTTGAAATTTCTTGAGCAGACCTGCAATCAAATCTCTACAAAGGCTACTGTTAGCCTGGAGTCCCTCATTGATCTTCTCTATGAGTTCAAATTTAAAGAAAACAGGTTAGTCTCATGAATAAAGCTTAGGGATTACATTAAGGCAGTTTTCATAATATTTGATGACCTCGACCTAGTCATTAACCCAATTAATGTTTATGCTTGCTCTCATAAAGTCAAAAAAGCAACAGCTTTGCCTTTGAAGAGTAAGAAAGCTCTATTAAGCTCTAGGTTGCTCCTACCAAGTCATCAGGGAACAATTCTTAAAAGACATAAAATGCTCAGAATGGTACGAAAAGATTTTTATTTTTAGAGAAGATCAACTCAAAAATGAATCCACAATTGAAAAAGTAAGAAATCTTATAGACTAATCTCTTAGCCGCTTTCTGTTCCGGATGTTTCAGAAGAAGAGGATTCAAAAGAATTTGAGACTATAAATTTTACTTTTGATAAGTCAAGGCCATCTCCTAACAATCCTAAAAGCCAAAAATAAGAGAGCTAAACCGAATAACAAAGCTATGAGGACGTTACCTGATTCTAGAATGCTTTTGTCTACCTCTAAAAAGAGAGATAGACTTGGAAGCACTCAGCCCAGCACAGATTCAAAGTCAAAATTCTATAAAGATAAAGTTTACGAGAGTAAAGATCTCCTTGAAATATCCTTTATATTCGATATTCTTGACGAACAAGAAGCTTGAGAACTCATGAAGGCTTTATTCTGACAAAACAAAGAAGAAAATGACTATATTATCCCTTCTGTAGCCAATAGACTTGTCAGACTTTTTGTCGAATATGAGAAGACCTTCCTCCTAGGCATCATGTTTGATTTTGAGCTTGAACAAGACGGAGATTGCCATGATTCTGAGAGATCAGTCTCGTTTATCAGTAAGCTTTTATCTAACTCTTTAGCAAATGCATTCAAATACTCCATTTTTGCTAAGAAATCTAAGATTTCTGCTAGCATAATCAGAGATTATATAGACTTCCTTTACAAAGGTAAGGAGAATTTGATTGAGATCCTGTTGCACTTCATGAATGAGTACACAGAGTCCAACGGAACTCTGATGTATCAGTCAGGAATAATGAATCTTGAAGAAATCCTCTATCACTTTGAAATGATGTGCACTAACTTCAATTTCTACCAAGCTGAGTACTTCTGTAGAGTCTTCATAAATCTGATCTCGAAGTACAACATTGATGATACAGGTATTGATGCAGACAACCTGATGGTCAAAGAGCAATTGAAACTGATGAGTTCTACCGTAGACAACCACTTCTTGGTCTGGAATGAGAATGCAGTCAAGATCTGTATCTTGGTTGTTTATATCTGCAAAAAGTTGAGAAAAATACATCCGGAATTGGACATCCAAGCAGTCACGGATATTTACTCTAAAATCGCAACTAAAATTATCAACAATTGAAACAGTATACATGAAGTCAATGATATTCTGACCGAAAAGTGCATCAATGGCTACACTGCTCTTGATCTCTTGGCATACGAGAAGATGGATACCATTTTAGAGAATCATAAAGTTGGAATGATCATCACTGATCTCTGGAAAGGGCCTTATTTTAGAGGAAATTATCTTGAGTCTTCAAGTTCTTACCAAATTCTGTCTACTTGTATCAATAAGAAAAAATCTTTTTATGGCTACTTGCCGAATAAAGTTGATGAAATGAAGCGAAAGTGGTTCCCAAGCTCCTTGTTCACTAATAAACAATTTTATTCTCCATTTAAATTTGATATCTGGAAAGCATCAATGGATATTGTGTATTTTGTTAACGGAATCATTATCATAGTCTTAGCTTTCTACATTCAAATGTTTTTCCTTGATGTCATGGAGAAATCAGTCTCACTTAGTCCTTCAATGGTTGAGTTTCAAGAGATAGCAGCTAAAATGCAGGATACTTCTTTATCTCAATCTGATCTTTTAACACTTCAAACTCGGCTTGCAGAAATCGAAGTGACATTATTACCTGAAGCTAAAGTAATGAGAGAAGATACTCAATACCTGATTCATTTTAATCTCCTATTGGTCAGCTACTTCATTCAAAATCTTTCTCAGATGTTGTATGCTAAACTTAATGGCAAGAAGGTAAGCTTAATCTGTTAGGAAATCTCATTTATAGGTCATCTACCTCACTCCAGAAGTTTTCGTTAACTTCTTCTCAACCTATGTGAGTTTATACGGATTCATTTCCTGGCATGCTGATTATACAAATATCTCGATAACTCCTTCAAAATACTATGACTTAACCGTCCTGAATAATTTTATGAATGGGGCTTTTCTCCTGAAAGGGATGATCTACGCTACACTTACAGTGTCTCTTCAATGGTGCCGTGTGTTTTTCATCCTTCAGGCGAATAAGACTCTTGGACCATACATCACAATAATTATTCATATGGTTGGAGAACTTCTAAAGTTTGCTATAGTCTATATCCTCATCTTTGTAATCTTTCTTTGTGCAGGAGCTTTGTTGTTCTTCAACAGACCAGAATTTGCAGATGAATGGAGAGGAACCCTCTTCTTGTTCAGCTCAATGATGGGAAATTTCGAGTTTGACACCTTCTCTGAGGACAATTCGAGAATTGAAAAGGAGTATGGGTGGATTTACATGATCTTGTTTGTTGTTATGACCAATATTCTGCTTTTGAATTTCCTGATTGCTATTTTATCAAATAAATACACAGAGATGGAGCAAAAGAGCAAAGTGCTATACCTTCAGAATATATTATTGATGAACCAAGGTCAAAGCAATAATGAATACTACTCGTCTATTGTATCTTCTTTTGTGCCTTTGAATATTTTGCTTTTACCTGCTGTTCCTTTTGTGGTATTAATGAAGTCAAAGAAGTTAAATACGATACTGCTCTACATCTGATATGCTCCATTTTCTGTCTTAGCAGTAACCCTTTATTTAATTTCTGCCTTAATTGTTACTCCATTAGCTTACATAAGCCTGACTACACGTTGAATAAAAGACATTTTCAACTTCAAGACCCGAATTCGGAGCGATTCTACTAAAACAATCCAAAGAATTACAAAGAATGTTTCACTTATCCTGGTTGGACCATTTTACTTGATTTTATTAATTTTCATGGACACTGTGGCCTTTTATCTTGATTTGTTCCAAGAGAATAGCAAGAATAAACACCCTATACCTTTTAACGATCTCAAATATAATAATGTCAAGCTAGACCCTTTTATTATTCAAGTTTTAATCGATACTATTGAGCAAGGAGAGTCAAGGATTGACACTAGGTCTCTCATTGTACATTTTAGAAGAAAGATGAGGGTCATTGGCCAGATCAAAAGTATTCTACTTCAATTTAAACCCAGAGAGTATGACAATGACGAAGAGGAAGAAGATCCTTTATCGACTTTCTATCATTGTCAACAGTTTGAGATAGCACACGACTTTGATACTCAAGTAAGCATTCTCTTAATCCTCTAGTTTGTCACAAAGCATGATCCAGAGTACATCCTGAAGCAATACAATGTTCTCAAAAGACTGCTAATTCGGAACTCTATTGAGGAAGACATGCTTACATTTTCTCTGAATCAGTCTTTAAACAGCTTATACAAAAGAAGCTCGACTGAACTTTCGCAGGTTAAGAAGATTGATCCCCATATTGCCTTCAAAAGTAAATTCAAGCTTGGCTATATTCACAGGGCAGCTTTCATGGTGTTCCTAGCTTCCATCAAAAACAAGAAACAGGTAAGGGATTCTCACTAATTGTAGTTTATGGATCATCTGAGTGAGGATACTCCATCCCTAGCAGCAAATGATAGCTCTAAGAATGATATTGATGGCATGGATTATGAGTACATTGAGCACAAGCTTGCCAGCCTCAGAGCGAACAGGTGTCATTCCTCCGTAAAAAGTGTGAACAATGAGACTGAAAATGACACCAAACCAAGCTAGACTTGACTTTGGCGATAGTCCCCCATTGATTATCTAATCTTTCTAATTTGGAAATCTAAAATTTACTTTTGGTTCAGCTATGCTTAGTTCAAGCCTGATTAACAGGATGGAGATTTTTACTGAAAGGGCAGAATGAAAGGTATATCCCCTTACCATAAACAGATAGCTAAATACATTGAAAAGATTGCTTTATTATTCTATTGATTCAATCAACAGCGTCAATATTGGGGTTTTGGGGTTTTGGGGTTTTGGGGTTTTGGGGTTTTGGGGTTTTGGGG